GCAATATTTTTGGGAGGGCTTATTTTGAGGGGAGGGTTTATTCTAGTGCATGCACGCAAAAGAGCAATTGGGCTTATTATCCAGGGAAGTCTTATTTTCAGGGAAACAGGGTATTAAAGGCAGGCATTTTTACCCAAGATCAAAAAGTCCTTGGTTCAAAGAGCAGTGCTGTGTATGGAATGGAAGAAGTTAGTCTTAATACCTCTTCTCAGTCTAATCCACTTCACTGAGTTTTTATTAGAACATAATTATGGAAGAACTATGTACTTCACTCTGTAGACAAAAAAGCAAAATAAATAGTCTTTGTAATGGATTGCATGAGCTAAATTACTAGAACTGAAATCTCATTTAAATCAATGTGCAAAACTAATCTGAATTTGTTAATTCCATTAAATGGAAACATTTCATTCAAATCCATGACTTGAATTGCAACCCTTCCTTCCTCCCTCCCTCCCTTCCTCCCTCTCTCCCTTTTTAATTTTAATTTTATGATTGAATAAATCCTTAAGAGCAATTCAAGCAAAAAATGCTAGCTTTCAGAAAGCTCAGAACATGTTATTGGACATACCCAATTACTTCAGTGAACAGGCTCCTACATGCCGCTGTTAATTCGTCTCATCATTTTGTTGTAACAATTGACACACGAAGTGTAACAGATTCTTAAGAGTTGGCATTTTCCAGCATTGTCTGCCTATGACATATAGCAAGGAGGCTTTAAAAAGAGTTTCGATATTGCATGAGTTCAATGAAGAGGAAAACGACAAAGAGGTAGGTCTGGTCTTCAGCTCATTTTGTTCTCTGGTTTTCTGAATATATTGTTTGTTTATGTGATTACTATGTGCAGTGTTAGCTTACATAGGATTGTTTTGATAGAAAACAAGACATATTAAAAAAAGAAGAAAATAATTTTGGTTTTCTACTTTCTAGCTTCCACTTCTAGGTTCAACTAATTTTGTCTTTTCATTTTTCTCCTTTCTTGGGAAGACGGGTTCTGTTATGAATGTCTTGAATAGCAGCATTGTAAAAAGGAGGGAGGAATCAATCCATAAAATGCTGTAGATAAGCTCCAACACTGGGAAGACTTAAGAGATACTAATTTCTCAAGGAGAAATGCTGGTTAGGCTTCTGGAGTTCCTATTGACAGTTGCCTTCTAAAAACCAGAATGTGAGATCTGAGCGCAAAAAGGAGGAAGATAATATTTTGAGAAAAGAAAAGTAGAAAATTGCAAATTTGATGAGTTGGAGAAGGAGAAGGGGCCAAGCTAGAGGGTTTAACTGTTGAGATATGTAAGAATAAGGGATTTTATTTGTATGAAGATGGGAACACAGGGATAATTTCCTATGGGACTAAAAAAAACAAGCTCTTTTAAAAAATGGGAATGGAACAGTCCAGGAGGACATTATGCCACAAGCAAAGTTAATAAAGTTTTCAAGGTTAGGTTTTAAGAAAATGATCCACAATACCATTGGATCAGAGATAAAATTCAGCAGATTCTGACAGGTTCTGGAGAACTGATAGCCAAAAAATTGAGTAGTTCAGAGAACTGGCAAATACCACCTCTGGCTGGCCCCAGAGTGGCGTATCCTTCTCCCAGGAATGAGGAGGGAATGGGGATTTCGCAGTATCCTTCCCCTGCCATGCCCACCAAATCACACCCACAGAACTGGTAGTAAAAAAAATTGAATTTACCACTGCATTGGATATATTTTCTCCTTTAATGTTTTTCCTGATTGGGTGGGGGGAACAGTGTATCAGAGAAAGCAAACACCAAACATAACATACATGCTCCCGTTAAACCCCAAAATACATTAAGGCAGAAGCTTGTCCACCCCAAGGAAAAAACACTCAGACACAAACTAAGCAATGTGATTTATGCAGTACAATGCAGTGAGGCATGCAGATCTATGCATTGGAGAAACAAAACAACCACTTCATGAACATATGTCACAACATAGGAGAAGAAACCCGTCAAGACAAGATTCAACAGTCCATCTGCATTTGAAAAACAAAGGTCACTCTTATTATAAAAAAGCAAAAAAAATGTGATTTGATATTAATGCCTTATTTTACTCTAACAGAGTTGGAAGTCAATGTTTCTTTTTCTTTTTTCTTATCCTTTCTCACTTCTCTTCCCGGAATTCCTCCCCACCATTTTCCTATTTACTTCTGTATTTTATATCTTGTTTTATTTTATAATTCAATGCAAAAACAAAGGTCACTCTTTTGAAGATAGCAAAGTTCACGTTCTGGACTCAGAGAGGACTTCTAGAATGAAAAGTCAGAGAGGTCATCTACCTAAAAATTGAACAGCCTTCTCAACAGGGGAAGGAATACAATACTACTTACCTTCTGTTTATAAGACAGTCCTTTCAGCAGTTCCAAGAAGGTTCCATACACATGTGCACTATTCAGGTGACCCTCAGGGCACAGATAAACCTTCAAGTGGCTTCAACGACTCTCAGAGAGAGTGCTAATGACCAGATGACTGCAAGGAATATAAAGCCTTCCATTCTCCACCATTCAGTCAGCACTGAAGAAGCTTTTTGGATAAGATGTAAAACATTTTCAAGGAAAAAAAACAAAGTCCAGCTGCCTTTTGAAAAAGCAGCTTTGGGACAAACATGATGTGGATGACTTGAATCTACAGACACACAACAAACGTTGTCCTTTGCATCCAGGTGGAAGACTCAATGGCACCACATTTATTGGAAGAAAAACAGCAACTTGGCAGAAAGAATTGCTTAGAGCTCCTTGGGTCAGCCCAATTCCCAAATAACCAGGGATGGGCACTCCAGATTTCTCTGGAAGAGAGGGTTTATACTTGGTGATTTCCATGTGGAAAATGGAATTACTTTCCTTTTTATTGATGTATTATTCATAATAGTTGATCCAATCTGGGACCAGATCTGTTATATTTCCTGCAGTGAAAAGCAAAAGCAAGTTGAAGTTCCTTTTTCATTAACCTTTCTGCTTGAGTTCTTAAATTTGCTAGCACTGACTTTTCTTAAGCTGTCTAAAGTGCAAAGCTGGCCATATTTTGACCATGAGTACAAAAAAGAGTAAAAACAAAAAGTTGGTATTCTTTAAAACAGTAAAAAATGCAGCATTGTGATTTTATTTTATTTTTTTTAGATCATCATATAACAACAGTGCAAAAACAAACCACTCTGTTTATTCTGTGACACAATTCTGGGAAGACTAACTCAAGAGAGCCTGTACACCAAAATACCTTTTGAATAATAACTTCCTTAAAGAATATATGTTTGAAATTTGAAATGCTAATAATTCATAATTCCTAAGATAGTAGTGATTATTTAAATACAAAATTCTTTAAAATATAATGTTCACTTTGCTTATATTTTAAAAATCTCAGAACAATTAATATTAAGAAATCATTATTTGTGCATATATTAAAGGTGATTGTGGAATATATTTACACAATCGCAGAACGTTCCAGTGTTTTCTTGGATTGCTATTGCAATTGCATTATATTTGTTTGCTATTTCTAATCCTCCCTGTTTATTTCCCACACTGTTCTAATGTACAAACACCTGAAGTTTTCAGTATTACCATCTCCTGGCATCTCTGTTATAGTGTCTTGCCAAACTCTCATTTTTGTGATTTTTTTTCATCACTGCAGTTTGTTCAAAATATCTGTGAACAAATATATTTATGTTTTTGTGTGCCCAGTAATCAGTAATCGGTACAGATTTTAAGGCAGCCTGTACTCTGTTTTAATGTACGAAAAATCACCAACTAATTTTTCTCTGTTTTCTATTCAACAATAAGGAACAAAAAGGGTGTCTTAATGTTTTTCTAAGCCTGTTGTATCCATATCACTGTTTTAAATGCTAAAGCTTCAAAAGAGGAGAGTGGGTGTGCGTGTGCGCATATTGAATAAACTTTCTCTGGTTACTCATTATGTTGTTGACCATATTCTTATCATGGTTTTCACTTGGCCAGTGCATAGTGTAACTGCTGTGATGATTATTACAGATATTGCCCAGAAGGCAGATTGGTAAAGCTATTCCCTTTGGACTCCTCTATCAAGAATCTGTGTGGGTAGATGTGGTGTGGGTTCTGTGATTTGTAATTATGTGATTTCTGTTAGATATTAACTTTATATTTCAGTTCAGTCCTTTTTTGTATTTGTTTTTTGTATTTCATTTGTTATATTTACAACTTGTTTTTATTCACAATTTTGAAACATCTAACAGAAATAAAGTTACAGTAATAAAGCAACTGATAATATGTAGCATCTTACATGAAAACAAAATAGTTTTAATGTTGTATGTATTTATGAAACACCCAAAAGACCAGAAACAATGGCAAACAATAACAGAGAAGTCCAGTGTCCTATTTAAATTAAACACTAGGGTAAATAAGATTATTTCATTTTATTTGCAATATTTTATTTACAATATTTTATTTTATCATACAAACATCTGTATGATTCCTTGATTCACAAGACTGGTACTTTAAGCAGTATTAGGTTTTTAGCACAAATTCTATAGTGCTGCCATTGAAAGATCTGACTTTCTCCCATAACAAATGACTTCTTATAAAATGGTGTGTAACTTGAAATTACAAAAAAAGGCTTTGTCTTGCTTGATGAATTCTGACTTATCTGTGTTAGTATTAAGTCTCATCATTCACAGTATACATGGGATTAAATTGATAAAGACTGTGATAAATAAATAATTCCTAGTTAATTATGAGTGTTCCTACCCTTACCAGCAATTCAAATGGCTACATGCACTATACATGTGTATATATGAGGCAGAGAGCCAGTTTGGTCTAATTGTTAAGGCGCCAGAAAAAAGCCAGGAGACTATGAGTTCTAATCCTGCCTTAGTCATGAAAGCCAGCTGGGTGACTTGGGCTAATCACTGTCTATTAGCCCAATTCATCTCATAGGGCTGTTGTTATGGGAGAAAAAAAAAAGGGGGGGGGGATATTAGATATATTTGCCTCTGAGTTGTTTATACAAATAATAAAGGTGGGATATAAATAAAATAAACAAATAATGTACTAATATACTATGGATAATTGCAAATATATTCCAAAATCTTAGTTGATTGTTCCTTGCATAGAGGATATGTTTCAATCCCATTTCAGATAATCCTGTAATCTTCATGTTCAGATTAAAATTATATAAGCCTTGTTCTTAAAACTGGAAAAAATTATTATTTGCTCCTTTCTGGGGAAAAAAGTCAGTCTTTTCTCTGATGAAAATGTTCTTTAATCTGATTACGGCTCTGTAGTCAAGATGTTGCTTGAAATGATACTGGCTGCTGTTTTGGGGACCATTATCTACTTGTTCCTGACTAAGAAAAAAAAGGAAGATCTACCTATGGGAGATGGATGGTGGGCTGCAGGACAGAAGCCTGACTCTGAAGATACAATGATACGTCCTTTTAAAGTGGTCACCTCAGAGGAAGAGATCAAGGTAAGATACTCTTTCATATTGAAGTACAGTAGAACATGGGGGCTAGTTGTACTTATCTGCTCATGCTTTCTGAGAGAGAATGCAGTAGCACGTCTACTCAAATACTTGTTAGAATTGCAGGCAAAACATTAAAGTACTTGTAAAGTACTTCAGATAAACCTCACTATTACCTCTTGACTTTAATTTGAATAACTGATATACGAAGCATAGAAAGTTGCTTTCTTCACAGAGAAAGAAATGAGACTATGCAAGATCCTGTTTAATAGCAATAGTGTTTAGACTTGCCCATTTTCATGTTTCCATGAAAATAAGACCCTGTTTTATTTGTTTTTTTTGCCATCAAAAAAAGGCACCAGGTCTTATTTTCAAGGGATTGGGATGTCATCCACTGACTAACCTCACTTGTGTGCGTACCCCTGCGTACCCCGCCTCTTTTTCGCTATCAGAAGCCTTAGGAACTTCTTCATCTGGCAAGGCCAACAAGGCTTTCCTGAAGGCCTCTGCAGCTGATAACAGAGCTCCAGATCCATCCAGAGCTCTCTTATTAGCCACAGAGACCTTCAGGAAAAGCTTGCCAGCTGCAGCAAAAGAAAAGAAAAGTGGAGAAAAAAATAAAAGCGTACCAACATTAATCAAGCAATAAGGTGAGAATGGGCAATGTCCTTATTGAATGTACTAATAATAAATGTTGAGATTTGTTGATTGGGATGATATTAAAGATGCCTCAGTTGCAGTAATGGTTTTCTCTTACCTTTGCTACCGCTTCAGAACTGAAAGCGTGTGTAGTTACTTCGCTCGCATGTGGCACTTCTGCACATGCGCAGAGCGTCTGTGATGATGTCTGGGTGGGTGGACGGAGCCTCCCGCCACTGCTGCTACCGGTTTGCTTGAAGCAGGACGAACCGGCAGAATACCACGTCTGCTCAGTTGAGCATATGATATGCAGATAATGGCATATTGTTGACAGAAACAGCAAATTTTAACAAAAGCTTTTTAGTAAGATTATATATAATCTATAACTTTTTTTTAAAAAGTAAATAACTCTTTATTCATGATTATTTCCATGTGTAAAATAAAGTTGTACCCCATCAAAATACATAGTAGTGGTATTTTTTCAAGTTCTCAGGAAGGGAGTAAATTGAAGAATGGGGACAATATCAATCAGAAGCTAGATACAGTATGTTTGATTTGGTTTGGTTTATGGCCCATTTCTCATTAGGAATAGTCTCAGTGTAGGATTTTATAATATATTTATTATAATTGTACCTCAGTTTTTATCCAGCAGCTGAGAGTAACTTACATGGAGATCTTTTTTTTTTCATTTTGTCCCCACCTTAATGATGGTATATGCAAGGCTGGCTTTATGTTAAGGCCAAGTAGACACTGGCTGATGACACCAAAGGGCGCTAACACCATTCCTTCTTCTGAAAATGAAGGCTATTGTAAAAATGTTAAATGCTCACACCAGCAGGAGGCAGTGCCAGCAGTCAGTGTGGGCTCAGACACCATACAACCTTGAGCCAGCAGTGGTGTAGAAAAAGTAGGGCTGCCGCAGCTGAAGTAAAAACTACCGAAAGTCTTGTCATTTTATTCATTCAGTCTCCAGGCCAAGAGGGATTGAACCGCTGAACTGCAGATAACAGTCAGCTGAAGTGGCCTGCAGTACTGCACCCTAACCACTGCGCCACGTTGGCTCTCTTTCTTGATTACACTACCCAATCTGAAAAGATTATAATCTCTAGCTAGGTTACAGCAGCCTTGTGAAGATTTGTATCTCGTTTGTGGCTTACTGTGTTCCTTTTCTACATTTTATATATAGCTTGCAATACGTGATATATTTACTTAACTTCATTGCAGCCATTAAGAGGACATTACATGGTATCCCAATTAGCTTTTTAAATTTTATCTTCTTTTTCCTGTACACACTTTGCTTGCGTTCTAGGATTTACATCAAAGACTTGACAAAGCAAGATTTGTAGAGCCATTAGAGGACAGTTGTTTTCATTATGGGTTTAATGCAATTTACCTTAAGAAAATTGTCTCTTATTGGAGAAATGAGTTCAACTGGGAGAAACAAGTGGAAATTCTCAACCAATTCCCACAATTCAAAACAAAGATTGAAGGTTTGCCACTAATAATTACTATAGTATGTCTGATCTGAGTATTTTAAGCCATTTGTGTTCTTAGCATTTGTGCCTGAACTTTGCCACACCTTATTTGCCAGTCAGTGCACTCTGGTACTTCTTTTAGTTATGAGTGAACACACAACAGTTAGAGTCTTCTTTACCTAAACCTTTATTATATTTCCCTGATACAAGAGTCTCCTCCTCTTGTTCTCTGAATTGTCAACATTCCCCTCTGTGTTATCTTTCCCTTCTCTGTACCAAGGACATGGAGAGAACAAGATGTAGTAACCTGGATAACCATGGATATCAGCACGTCCTTGAAAAAGGACATAATCAGCTGTAAATGTTGTAATGCTCATCAGCAAACTAAGTGTGGCCAACTGGCTATCTGAAACAATGGCCTGGATTTATGTGTGGTGAATGGGGCCTATCAGTTTGCCTCTTTGCAGATTGGGAGGATTGAGAACTCTCTCTGAGTTTCCTGGCAACTCTTACATCCCTTTTTGGATGGTGGGGGAAGTGAACTGAACTTGGCTTAAGGCACTAGTATTTTGCCTAGTCATAGCCATGCTAATCAGGCAGTTTCGGTGTTGTTTCTCTTGCACAGAGGGATACTTTCAATTACATGGCTCTTTTCCTGCATATAAGTTCAGATAAAACATTTTCTTCAGAATATCCCCAATAAACATACACAAGGAAGATGTGTTTATTTTAATGTTTTTTTGCATACACTGAAGTGGATATCCTCAACTCCCCCTTTTTGCTGGATTCGGTAAATTGAAATTACTTTTAAAAATAAGGCAAAAGAAACTCAAACCACATTTTTGCTCTCCAGCAACCTTTGAGAGCGAGAGGCCATTGCTTCAGGCTGCAATCAATTTCATTTTGAGAATACAGATACTAATTTGAAATCCACAGGGCACAATCCAGGATCCTATTGACTCTCAGAAAATTATATTATGTTGACCTATCTATTTAGTTATTTTCTGAAGATTCTGTGTCTATATTTTCTTCCTGTAGGAATCAATGTCCATTTTCTTCATATAAAACCTCCGCACTTGTCTGAAGGGCAGTCTGCTAAGCCTTTATTGATGATCCATGGTTGGCCTGGCTCAGTGTATGAACTGTACAAAATTATCCCTCTTTTGACTGACCCTACAAACCATGGCCTGAATGGTGACCATGTTTTTGAAATGATTTGCCCTTCCATCCCTGGCTTTGGCTTTTCAGAGGCTCCTCACAAACAAGGTATCTGGTTTGGGGGTGGGGTGTAAAAATAAAAGGCCCAAGGTATAGATCGTCTTTGACTTATAACCACAAGTGAGCCCAAAATTTCTGTTACTAAGTGAGACATTTGTTAAATGAGTTTTGCCTCATTTTACAACCTTTCTTGCCATAGTTGTTAAGTGAATCACAGCACTTGTTAAATTAATAACACAATTGTTAAGTGAATCTGAATTCCCATTGACTTTGCTTTTCAGAAAGTCACAAACAGTGCTCACATGACCTCAGGACACTGCAATTGTCATGAGTCAGTTGCCAAGCGTCTGAATTTTGATCATGTGACCATGGGGCTGCTGTAATGGTTGTAAATGTGAAAAGCAGTCATAAGTCACTTTTTCAGTGATGTAACTTCAACCAGTCATTAAAAGAACTGTTGTAAATCGAGGATTACCTGTATTCTAGTCAGCCTTGTAGTGTCTGAGTGGGATTTGAACAACATGTCTCTTGTCCATATCCAAGATGCTGTGAATTGCACCACCCTTATTCAATACAGGCCACCAATCACATGTAACAGCCTCCCTCCTGAGTTCAATGAACATCCTGTGTTGTTATCTGCATGTTGTTAAAAAAAGAGGAGGGGTCTATTTTGGGCAAGTCTTTAGACAACTCTTCCAGAGTTTATTGAGACTTCTGGCAAGATTTAACATAGAGAATGATTTTCTAGTGAAATACTGTATTGGTAATTGTGATCTCATTGTTTTGGTAAAATATTTGCTGGGGAAAATGTTAACAGTCTTAAATATGAATAAAAGAACATTTGCAAGAACTGCTTATATCTGAATTTAGAAAACAAATCTTACTTTTTTTTCCTTTCTTCCTCTAGGCTTTAATATTATGTGTGCTGCTCGTGTCTTCTATAAGTTAATGCTCAAATTGGGATTTCATAAATTCTACATTCAGGGAGGCGACTATGGGTCTCTGATATGCACAATTCTGGCTCAGATTGCTCCGCGGTGAGATTTTATCTTTCTAATGGTTAAATTCAAATCAGATTTATCTAAGCAGTGCTTAAAGAGGAAGTGTCTTTATTCTGCTTTAGATTATTGAGTAGCACTGTATCAATCTACTATAGACGAATTCATTTTACAGAGCCCCCACTGGAAAAAAACAATACATTTTTAGTCATCAAGAGGTTTCAACTTATTTTTCTTATTAAAAATGAATGTGAAAAAAGAGTCTTACCAGAACAAATTTTGGATCATGAAATGTAAAAGCCATGTTTCTTGGATTATTACTACAGAAGTAGGACTGGATTGATTATTGGAATCTTTCACAAGTTACACTTTATATCTTACTGAATAAGTTTATGGAAAGTTTTCTCCTGTTTTCTTTTCTAATTAACAGCTGCTGTTAAAATTATTCTTAATCTTATTCTTTATATTATTTCCATCTAAATGGTACTTGATCTTTTAATACTATACTCATGCTGCACTATAATGGTTATATTCAGAGGCCACATTCACAAGCAATCAATTTTCTTCCTCCCAAAGGTAATTCGGAATAAAAAAAAAAAAAGCTAACCCTCTCAATACATAGTACAGCTACTCATCAACTGATGACCATAATGGAGCCTGGCTATTATAATCAAGTCATGATGGTCATTAAGTAAAGCATCCACATGATCACCTCACTTATGACTCGACCTTCCTTGCTCTTCCCAGTGTGGTTTTTAAACATGCAGGTCATTAAGCAGAGCACAGGGTGCTTCAGGGACCCTGGGGAAGTTCCTGGGAGGTCTAGTGCAACTTCTGCCCCAGGCCTCCAAAGACCTCCCACACTTCCTAAGATAGCCTGTGCTCTGCTTCCCATCACTTGTTTGGGCCCTGCACCTTCCTCCTCACCCCACTTCACCTATTGTGCACTTACCTTTTGAAGACTTCTGGAGGTTAGGAAAGGAGAGCTGGACACTCTGTTCCTCGGTCACATGGTGCAATCCCAGAAGTGGCTGCCATTTTCATGGCAGCTTCATTGAATTGTGGGCACTCCAAAAATAGCAGCTGCTTCTGGGATCATGTCACATAGCCCAGGAATAGAGGGACTAGCTCTGCCTCCTTAAAGTGAGCTTCAAGAAGCTCTGGAACTCTGCAAACCACTGTGGATTTTTCCAGAGCTCCTGTTAGGGAAACAGAGTAGGCCTCTTCAATCCTGGGCTGCCATTATCAAAACAACCACAATTCAATGATAAATGACTGGTCATAAGACAAGGATTATTTGTATGTTAAAAAAACAACCAAAGAAATATTAGTTCCTTTATTGTCTTTGCTTTCTTTTTGACCATGGATGGATGTCTACTGGCATTGTATTTTTAATATTCCTTAAGCCAGGGGTGGGTTCCGGCAATCACTATTGCCAGTTTGCTTGTATGCACGCTTTTCGCACATGCTTGATGTGCACTGCCTGCACATGATGCGCACTGCACATGCATGCACAGGGCAATTAAAATTGTTCTACGCATGTGCAGAACTGGAAAACAAGATGAACTAGTTTTAAGAACTAGTTTGGGGTGTGTGGCAGGCCTGGGTCGCTGCCATCAAACTGCCGGTTTGGCCG